CACGCATCACATGTTGTGCACGTGCGTTCATGAGGGTTGGGAGAAAAAAAATATTAAAATAAGAAATAAATTGGAATTTGTAAGAATTTTTTTTTAAAAAATACTAATACTAATAACATTAATAAGAAGTCAAACCGACCACTGAAACCATTTCTTTTAATTTATTCAAACCGTGTTTCAAAAACAATATAAACTAATGGGAACAAAACATAACCAACAACATATATTCATTTCTTGATTTGGTTTAATAATTAACATGGACCTAACAAGTAACACATATTAAAAAATTAAGAGATACAAAAGCAGAAGTTGTAATTGGTCTTATCATCATTTTGTGCCAAATATTATAAAATATGATATTGAATAAGATAAAATAAATAAATTAGAACCCGGTATTCTTGTTACAACATGGACCTAACACATATTAAGAGATACAAAACCGAAAAATATACTTGGTCAAAAGTATGTTGATATAAAATAGGCATTTGTTGATTCTACCTATGACTTCATCTCAACAATCATTATTTATCATTTCAAATCTTCTTCCTTATCAATTCTCCTTACCGTTTGACCTACACTCTCTCCACTTTTCATTTTTTTTTTGTTAGTTATCATCGCTCCAATATTATATCTATGGTTTTCTTCGTATGAGCATGTGTATATCATGGCCGACCAAAAAAGGAGTTCAAAGTATGTCCAAGCTTACTAAGTCATAGGACCCAATTTTTTTAGCATATATACTAGCCTAGGCTGAGTTTAGGCCCAAATCCAGTTAGGTTAACATGTTTTCTTCATCTCATTTATCAGGAGCGACGCACGCATCACATGAGCGGGAAAATCGACTGACCTTGGGAAAAGAAAAAAACACTTCAGTTTCTTGTTGGTTGTTCTGCTTACACATGGGGAACATATTAATAATGGCTACTGAATCGTCTCCGATCCTTGACAAACGGTTTCAATATTTGTATAAAATCAGTCGATCATAGAGGGTTTTATTTCTTTTTTTCTTTCTTCTCGAAAATCAGAAGCAATAATCTTACAATCTTCTTGAAAAATAGCTTTAAGTTCTTACAATCTTATTATCGTTCGCCTTGTTTCTTGAAATCAAATTTCTTGAGTCAAGTCTTAGTAGAGGGTCTTAATTATTAAACCTTATTTTATCGATTCCTATGTAATTCTTTGATAGCTTTTTGCTAACATTTTTTCAATAAAATTCAAGCGTTCAAAAAAAAAAAGATCCAAGTTTCGAAATCATAAGGTAAAAGATTTGATTTTTTTGGTTTGTTTTTTTTTTAAGATTCTGATCCTTTTTTTTTTGAAGGGAAACATCATATTCAAAATTCAAAAGGAATAAAGTTACAAGGAAATCAATTTCTGATTTTTGAAGGCACAAGCAAATCAAAGTTTTTTCCTTTCTTGTTTGTTTATGGTTTGTATTTTTGATAATTTCTTATACGTATTTATGATAAGCTACTCAAAAATCTGATTTTAGAAGCTCCAAGTTCAATCTAGTGTGAGGTTTTAAAATCAGAAGGTATAAGGATTCTCTGATTTTTTTTATTTTTCTTTTATTTCCCTTTGTGGTTTTCTTCTGGTTTTCTTCTGATTTGTATTTTTGATAATGTAATCTAATTTTTTTTATTTCGTTTATGATTTTTTACAATTTTGTTATACTTTACAACTTGAGTTTTAGAACTGAGAACCACGTAGAAATCTCCAAATTGCAAATAAGGTCGTTTCTCTCTTTTTACTAATTTAGGATGCCCCCTAGATTAAAAAAAATATGAATCCGGATATGAAAAACGTAAAAAGAAACAAAAAAAAATTGAAGAATCCAATAAAAAATAAAAAATGATCTATTGATAAGTTTATGACAAAAGAAAACCGAATTTTCAGAAAAATAAAAAACAAACTGTTAGTGATGCTAATGATGATGTTGGTGTTTTTTTTTTTTTTTTTTTTTGAAAGAGTGATAATATTGATGTTATTGTAGATGGTAATAATAATGTTGATGTTAATAATAATGTGATGATTTTCATACATTTGATATATTTGATCCAAGAAATTCGGATGTGCTCGACTCTAACATGATAATATTTTCGCATTAAAAGGTACTGAAAGAGATTTATCTATTAAAAAATCCAAACGATAATGGTTAAGGTTTTCTGCAACATATTATGTTAAAACTTTACCAAACGGAGAAAAATGTGACCGGAATTGGTTTGTTTGTTCTAAAGAAATTGATTAATTTTGCTTTTTATTGTAAAATATTTCAAAAATGCTGTGGAAATGGTCAGTTAGTAAATTAGGGTTTTAGAGATCGGTACATCTTAATACTATAGTTAAAGAGCATGAAATTAGAATGGAACATGTTAAAAATATAAATACTTGGTATGATTTGCATCTAAGATTACAAAAAAATAAAACTATTTATAATGCGGCTCAAAAACAATAAAAAAAAGTTAATTGTAGAAAAGTTTAGTTGAGAATTATCTCTATTGTGAAATTTCTTGCTAAATCAATCTAGCATTTTGTGGTACTAATGAGAAATTGTATGAAAATAACAATGATTTTCTAAGGTTTAATTGAAATGTTGGCTTTGACATGGTTTCTTATGAGAATATTCAATGTATTACAAATAAAATTGGTATCTATAAACATAATGGATTAATACTTTTACTTTCTTCCGAAATAAAGTCTATGATTATTTAAAAAAAAAGCAAAATATTGTTTTCCTATTACATCTATTGCATATAGAATTATGTTTGACTATTCATGTTCCTGTGGCATTGTAGGAAAAAATGACCATTGAATATGTTATAAAAAAATTTATTTCAACCAATATTATAAAAATGATTGATTTCAAGTACAAACAACTTTTTTTGTATTATTTAGAATAAAATTTTAAATTATGTATTTTGCAATTAAAAACTAATAAATTAAACTGTTTTGAACTTTTGATTAAAGTTTTAGATTTTTTAATTTTAAGGTTTTTTTTTTCTTTTTGTTAAATTGCACAAGACTTTCAAAATCACGCAGGCGACGTGGTCTGTATATATAACGTTATATATTAATAATGAATGTATTATATAGGGTAAATTACATGAATCCCCTCGTGCAGTTGTTTGTTTTAAAGTTGCATGTTGCATCCCTAAAAAACGATTTTGTTGCAGGTTTAGTCCTCACCAGATTTAAAATGACCATAATGCCCCTGTGTATTTTTTTCAATTAATCTAATATTATTTATCATTTAAAAAAGGAAATTCGGCCCACTCTCACCCACCCTCTACATCTCCCCTTTCTCTTTTCTTTCAGTATTGTAGAACCCGCCGGCAAAATCATATGATTCTGGCAAGCTTCAAGATACCCATGAAGTCGATATGCACCTCAAAAGCTACCATGAATCCGAAACCTAAATCAGACACCACAGGAGCAAGGTTACCTCCTCTGGATCTGATTTTGTGATGGGGGGGAAGCCATCGCCAGAAAGATATGAAGAATAGTCGATCTCTTTCCCTCTTCTCCGTTCTCAATGTAGAACTGTCACAATCTTTCTTAATTCTCTATTCGAATCAGAGGTGAAGGTGTTATAATCGGAGGCGGAAGCGGACACTATCTCCGGCGCCATGGCTATACAGGGTTGTAGATGGGTTGAAACTCGTTTTAGATCCGTTCAAATCGATACCAAGTGCCTTTCAGATATGGTCGAATTGGAATGCTGGTCTCTTTTTTTTTATCTTTTTTATAATTGTGATTGTTTATTAGAAAACAATGGATGTTTGGGAAATTTTACAATCGATGATTGTCCGATTTTAACCTAGATTGATTTTTTTGGATCTCTTTTACATCTGGATTTATGGATGCACCATGTAAGGAAATCATACAAACCATAAGTCTGATTGAATGGAAAGAATACAGGGATGATTAATGAAGAAGATGGGTGCAAGGTTCAGATCGAGGAAGAAGTTGTCGGCATATGTTTGGATTGATCTCCTTCTTCACATATGTTCAGATGGATTTCCACCTAAGGTTTCAGATCAAGGAAGAAGCCAGGTGCAAGGTTTTCAGATTATGATTTGGTTGGAGGAGGACATGGCAGTGATAGGTGGTGGTGTCAGAGGTGCTAGCGGTGTGTTGGGTAATCTGTGGGAAATCTTGAGATGGGGAAACTCAAAAGGTTCCATTTCCAAATCTGAAACTGGAGAGACGCAAGTGTGAGATCAGAATAGGGAAAACAGGAGAATAGAGTAAAATAGAGACTGAACTTGGCCGGTGTCTTGGAGTCGATCTCTTCTGTATGAAACCGGAGATGTCCAGGACTTTCCGAAGGAGATGCCGAAGCATTGAAGTCGGTCGTTGTGGGTAGTAACGGTAGATATGAGATGTGTTGAAGAAGAAGAAGAAGAAGAAGAAGAAGAGTGATTAAATTTACCGGCCCATTTAAAAAAAATGAAATAATATTTATTTTGTATAATAAACAAATCAATAAATAATTAATAAATAACAAGTAAATAGAAAATAAATCAAAAAATAAATAAATAAGGGTAAAATGGTCTTTTTATGTGCAGAGGGACTAAGCAAGCAAGAAAAAACAAAACAATAGACCATCCGAGTTAATTTTTGAAAATAGGGACTAAACACGCTTTCTGATATATGTACGAGGGATATATTAATAACTTTATATATTAAACTAAGAAGAATTAAAACACGGGTTAAAAATCATATCCACAAAATTTATTTGAGTCAGAGTTAGATCCGTTGATCCCGAATTTGCAGCCCTAAAAGCCATCATCATTCCTTGCTCAAAAATATGAACTGTTCAAGGTATGCATTCAGAAATGAAGGCCAATGGAGACTAATCTTAACTGCATTAGTATAATATAATTTATATATATTTAGCAATTAAAGCCAAATAGAAGGCCACCTTTTGGCCCTAATTTCCAAGATTCTAACGAAAACAATTAAAGCACTCAAGAAGATTATAATATGACATTCTACATTTAGCAATCAAGGTAAATCGAATGCTGATCCAATTGCATAATTTCTGCAAGATCAAAGGAAAAGGGCATGAGAAATCATTAAAAACATTCAACGAGATGATACCATACAGCTTAACAATTGAATCAAGCCAAATGGAAACCGATGAATTTGCTCTAATTTCCTAAATTTGCAAGGAAAAAGACATCAGAAATCTGTGAACATTGAATTTACGCCATCATATGTTTAACTAAAAAAGGTTAATTTGCCCCCACTGGTATATGATTCGATCACTGAACATAAAAGGCGTTGAATTTAGAAAAGTAAATAGCTTTGATTTCGATCACATATTAAACAGTTTCAGCAATTCAAAACACGGAATTTCGTTCTTACACACCAAGTTATGGTCAATGATCGAACTTACATAGAACCATATAACGCTGAATTTCAATTGTAATAGAGCTCGAGACCCATGCCATCGTGAATCTCGTAATCCTTGAGGGTAATATGATCCTTATAGATGTTGTACCACTTCTGGATCCTTATCTTGTCGGCGCGTGTTCCAGTCTGAGCTGCTGCGAGCTTCTTCAGATCACCGGTGGTGTGGTCGTCGTTGCACTTTACACGAACCTTCTTCCCCAAACGATCGTTCGAAACCACCTCGATCATCTTTGTTGTCTTTATTTATTTGTCTGCAATTAAATTTGGTGAAAGGATATGATCCCGAAACCCTAAATTTAAGGAATTATAATTTGGAGTTTTGGGCAAAATATTTACACTTGTAGGACCCATTTTCATGGAATTGTCTTTTAAACCCTTAAGTCTTTTTTTTATTGAAGTCGATATTATTTGTGGAAGGGGTATCGTGGTGCGATGTAGTGTGGTTTAAGCTTTTTGGAAACCTCAAGTTGATCGTATTGTATAGTTTCACAAAATCATGAACTGCAAATCTGTTGCGACGGACCATGAGGCAGGAATGGCTAGACCGAGTCGGGTCAAGACGGTTCCGGTTTGGCATAAGGATTATGTGTTTGACAAGTAGTAGATAAGGATAAGCACCGGTTTCAATATTTACGTTTCATAGATTAGCTTTGTTTTGATTTTGAATTGTTTTTTGGGATTATCTTTTTATCCTGTTAGTTTGAAGTATTTTAATGCATTCAGTAACAAGCCAACATGGTAGATTTTGGATCAATCTTCTCGTCTTCCTTTCTCTATCTCTGGAGCTAGTACTCGCTTGAAGTAGTGCAGGTCTGAGACCTATTGTGCTGCTTAACAACTAGTGCTTTCATTGAGAGATTTTTGGCCATGGATGAAGTTGTTCTTCGGTTGCTAATCAAAGAGCATACCGACACACTAAACCACAGGATTGAGCAACTTTCCCCTGAACTACAGATTTTCAAACAACAAAAACAAGTCAGCGGAAATGGAGATCGGGGATCGAACCTCCCCAGATCCATGCGCTTGGATGTGCCTCGTTTCAATGGCACCGACCCGGAGACTTGGATTTTCGCCATGGAGGAATATTTTGGCCTACACGGGACAACAACAGAACAATGACTTCGCATCGTCGGATTTAATCTGGACGGAGACGCAGCGGAATGGTTTCGTTGGATGAAACGCAACAATATGGTCACCAATTGGGAAGGTTTTTTGGAAAACATACGGACCCGGTTTGGACCATCGAAGTATGAAGACCCGCAAGGCGCCTTGTCTAAGCTAATCCAATGTGGCACCGTGTCACAATACCAAGCCGAATTCGAGAAACTTATGAATCGGGTAACTAATATTAGCGAAAACTTACTCATCTCGTTTTACACATCAGGATTGAAACCTACAATACAAAGGGAACTCCTTGTTTCCAAACCCAATACCTTGGGTGAAGCTTTTGAACTATCCAAAATTTGCCATGTTGGCTTGTTACCGAATACATTAAAATACTTCAAACTAACAGGATAAAAAGATAATCCCAAAAAACAATTCAGAATCAAAACAAAGCTAATATGTGAAACGTAAATATTGAAACTGGTGCTTATCCTTATCTACTACTTGTCAAACACATAATCCTTATGCCAACCCGTCCGTATAACGTAGTTGACGAGTCCCATGTGACCACACTACCAGTGGAGTTTGAAAATGGAAGACCCATCGAACAGTCGGTCGCCATTTGTGGATCTAGGCGTGTTTTGGACAAGGGTATTCCAGCTGTGCAAGTGCTAGTTCAATGGACATGTAGTTCACCATAGAATGCGACATGGGAGTGGGTAGATGAATTTCAGGCTGCCTATCCTCACTATCACATTAAGGACAAGGTGCTTCCAGACGCGGAGGGGAATGTTGCGACGGACCATGATGCGGGAATGGCTAGACCGAGTCAGGTCAAGACGGTTCCGGGTTGGCATAAGGATTATGTGTTTGATAAGTAGCAGATAAGGTTTCAATATTTACGTTTCATATATTAGCTTTGTTTTGATTTTGAATTGTTTTTTGGGATTATCTTTTTATCCTGTTAGTTTGAAGTATTTTAATGCATTCGGTAACAAGCCAACATGGCAGATTTTGGATCAATCTTCTCGTCTTCCTTTCTCTATCTCTAGAGCTAGCACTCGCTTGAAGTAGTGCAGGTCTCAGACCTATTTTGCTGCCTAACAAAATCACACCACCAAAGTTCTAAATCATGTTATGTAGTACAGACGGTTTATGTGGTTTATGCAGTTTGATGAATAATTTTCGTATTTATTAAAAATAATTTATGGCATACCACAAATCATACCCAATTTGTTAACTTATTTTTATATATAAAACATTACATCTCTCACCCGTTTTGAAGGAAAACTCTAATAAAAGCAAAAATTTTGGTATTGCTCTTGAAAATGTTGAGACTTTTAGATTTACTTATTTCCTTAATTGTGAAGGGTCTTCTTTTCTTTTTACTTACATCGGGTTGCCAATTAGTTCCAATGTGAAGCTAGCCAAAATTCAGGTTTCTATTACTGACTGGTTCAAAGAAAAGCTTAGTTTTCGAAGACGACATGAGAATTTGAAGATGACATAAGGGTTCATTATTCTTGTATGTTCATGTCGGTGACTGATTATGAGAAATCGAAATTATCGGGAGAGGATTGTAATGACCCAAATTTCCTACCATTAATGATACTAGTGTTTTGTGACAACCCGGAAACTTCAATCTTGTACAGTTAATCAATTCAATCATTATTCAACTTGTTTTGTCGATGTCTGGTGCTATTTAAGGGTTCATTTAAGTGTTCTAAGCTTAAACTTGACCAAGGTTGAGATTAGGAATGAGTCATCAAGCCATATAGTGAGGAAATCGGGTCATACACGCCTCTTGGAGGAGTGTACGGCCGTACACATGGGTGTGCGGCCGTACACCCACTCCCTCGGCAGCACACTCACTTTTGGGCAGCACCCTTACTCCTATATAAAGGGTAGCCTCGTTCCTTTCCTTCCTTTAGCACCTTGGCAGCACACAACATCATTTCCTCTCAAGTTTCTCCAACTTTGAACCTCCCAAAGCTTCAAGAACGTGAGTACTTCTTCCTCTAGCTTACAATCCATGAAAGACCTCTCTATCTAAGCTTTAAAGGTGCAAAAATGGACATGTTCTTCGTGTTGGAAGTGAGTGTGGCCGCACACCCTCTTAAGGTGGCCGCACACCCTTAAAACACCCTCCAAAGTGAGAGTTTGACTTCCATATTCGAGATAGACATGCCCCTAGCCTTGTTGTACCTTGGAAATGGCATTTTGGACATTTTTGAGTGGAGTGTACGACCACACACACCTGTGTACGGCCGCACACACACTTGCGAGGCAGCACACCCAAGTGTGCGACCACACACTCATTGTAGGACCATAAACCCACTTCTAAGACCCTAAACTTGTACTACAACTAAGTTTGGACCAAGAACACTTCATGGATTGCAAGTATGGACCTTGAAACACCCCAAGAACACCTTCCATCATGGGTGTACGGCCGCACACCCCTTGGGCCGCAAACCCATGGCCGCACACACCTTAAAGGTGGTCATACACTCCCCTCATGCAATCCTTTAGAGCTCTAACACTTAGTGCAAGTAGTCCCAAGTTCCTAGAGTGGTTCTCCATCACATTTAGTGGTGAAATACCTCCATTTGACTCCTTTATGTGTCATTGCATGTAATTTAGGGTCAAATCGTGTTCAAGGCTTCACTTGAACATCCAGCGTTTCGTGTCGATCCTTTATTCAAATCACCCGAGGTGAGTTCATACCCCTACGTTTTTCCGAGTTTTTCATGTTTTCAGGGGGGGGGAATACAAGCAAAAGTACAAGGAAACTTGTGCTCAAAATATATTAATTTGTTTAAGATAATTATATGTTCAGTATGCTTTTAACATGGAAAAACAGTTTTGCCAAAGAAATCAACTCGTAGAAACAGTTTTCAAAACTAGAACAATGAACTTGTGAATCACGTAGTAAAATGTATTATTTTATAAAGGATTCATGCAAATCATAAACATGATTTTCAGTATTATTACTTGTAAATTTGTTAGTCTAAGTTGGAGACACGTCCTTGGTAACACTCCCACAAAATCAGAGTGTAGGACTAGCACATATGACCAGAATCTCTTGGAGGGAGAGCGTGACTGTTGTGTATAGATCTATACGGGACTGACTATCCCGCATCTCGCTGCTAGCTACAGTGGGACCGGCAGGTCTACAGGTGACAAAGTCATAAAGGATACTGGCCCCCATACGTTCCGTATCAAGTTAATGTATGGTTATAAAACTCACAAGCTAGATAGCAGAGATTTACATTTGTAATAATGAATCAAGTGAACTAACCTCAAAGTAATAACCGATAGATTACTGGAGGGTATTACTAATAATACCTTCAGGACTTAGTTCATCACGGTTTTCTTTTATTTAGTTTTATTTATGTAATAAGGCTAATATACCTCTCTGGGTGTAACCAGGGTTTTTAAAAGAAAACTGCTTTTCGAGTATGGTAGATACTTGCACACCTCAGTTTAGAACGGATAATCAATCATCAACCTTTAGGGAAAATATAGGATTTTCCCGGGATAACCCGGCTATTCAAAAACAGATTGTTTAACATGTAATCAATGGATATTCATATTCCTTCCACGACTCATTGGATCGTACATACCTTGTATGAATTTGGAAATCATGGAAGGAATGGGTTTTCAAACAAGCTTTTCATAAGAAAACATAGGATTTTCTTGAGGAACACTTTTCAAAAGGATTCCAGAAACACTTTTCCACTAAAACTAAATGCTTATGAACTCACCAGCTTTATGCTGATATTCTTTCAAAACTGCTTGTATTCTTAGGGAATCAGTAGACAGGTACTTCTTGGATTAGAGGAGCCGGAGCAATAAGAGTCATGTTTTCTATATTTTTGCATACTTTAAATGTATTTAAAACAAGTTTCAAACTGATGTAAACTCTTTTCATGATTGTATTCAATGTTTGGTTGTGTTTACTATGCTTGCTATACAAATGTTGTGATACTACGCATGACGTCCTCCACCCCCGAACGTTTCCGCCGTTTCGGTTTGGGGGTGTGACAGATTGGTATCAGAGCCCTTGTTTATAGCGAACTAAGTATACCGAACCTTACATGGTATACAACTATAAATATTAAGGG